ATTCCATCTGTCCATCTCCCTTGATCACTAGGTCCATGCATTCCTGACCCTTTTAACATTACTCTTAGCTCCTGTTTGCCTTGTCACGACCTCTGGAAGCAGTCCTGAATTTTCTCAGGACTTCCCGCAGCTCAAGGGAGTGCAGGGGGAGTTGCTGGAGGTGGGAGCCAACAGGTGCTTTGTATGCTCTGGCACATATTTGTATTTACTTGTACATATTTTCTTTTACCGCTAGTATTTAATTAAAACTGTCTAGTTTAGTTTTCAACCTGGAAGACTCCTTCCTTATTCTCTCTGTCCTTTACCTATCTTGGTGGGAGGGGATAGACAGCATTGTTGTCATTGGTTAATTGCCATCCCAGGATTAAACTGTGGCACTCTAAAAGTAGAAAAAAGCCAGATACTCACACAGTGAAGGAATCGGGGGGAGCTGAGACTCTCCTCAGGTCAGCAGACTGTACTTTATGGATACTATAGGCAGCAGGAAATGAGTGGCCAGGAGAAAGGCAGCACACAGTGTGGACAGACAAGGAAAAAGGCAGGAGGGGGAGAGAGAGAAAGAATGGAAGAAAGAAAGACATACAACATTTAAACAGAAACAAAAGGAACGTGTCACGTAAAAGTTGAAGAGACATGCAGAGCTCCAAGTTCACGCTAGGAAGTCAAGAGCAACAGAAGACATGCAAATGGGGAAAAATCACTGCTACATGGCACACAGAATCTTTCTAAAGACATGAGTGAGGACAACCTATGACAAGCTAGAAACTCAGCAATACAAGGAATACGAAGAGCCCCAGAATTTGTTCCACAGGCACTGAAAAATTTCAAGGCAGCAGACTTTGGAAGCAGGTCCAGAAATGCAAACAAAAATCAAAGCCTAGATCTGAATAGATGAAATTGTTTCTAAAGGTTAGCCAACTTTAGTTAATGTTGAAGAAAACAGTACCGGAGATTTTGTACCCACAATGAAAAATTGCTGTCTCCTCTCTTGTTTCATCTACCTTAGGGAAACATGCATTTTTTTATATATCAACTTCCAAGACAAACTCTCTTTCAGTGCTTATGCTCAGATGATCCTTTTGTTTCTCTAAAGTGTATGGAATATGTTTTATCTAAAAGCTCCTCCCTCTTCTTCCATCATGCAGGACATTCTTCCTCAACCCAAACTAAAAGCCAATGAAAGCAAAATACCATCTTCTGAGGTTCAAAAAGTGACCACTAACTGAAATTTACTGAGCAGCATACTAAACTGTAGTTTCTAATCAGAAAATTTCTTCTGGAAAATTGAACCTCAGCTTCTCTTCTTACTCTACACACATTTTGCTAATAGTTCACTAGAACCACATTCTTGGCTTGACCACAGAAAACCAAGCTATGTATTTTCTCTCTTTCACATATTGCCATGATCAATAGTGGAGAATAAGAATGAGAACATAGCCAGCAAGTCTTTTAAGGGAAGGAGAACAAGAATATAATTCACTCTTTTTGAGAAAAACTGAGTCTGCTGCTCTGGGTCTAGGAAAAATTTGCTTTTGCTGGTAGAAACAGAAGAGACACATGAGAAGAAATATTTTTTTCCCTCACAACCCCACTATCTGACGTTTTAGTCAATAACCGAGATTGAACAGCATCATCTTATCCTGTATGTTCCTTGCACCTAAGAGGTTGCTACTGGCTTGAAATATTTTATTGGATTATCACTTATCTCCATTATAGAGCAATGCATTGTAGGATGAGGAAGAGATTGTGCCTGCCTTTTACTTTTGGTCATCTTCTTTCCAGGGAGTTACTGTTGCAATCAGGAAGATGGGCAACTCTTACAGTCAAAGAGAATCATGTAACTAAAGCCCTCCTACTCCCAAGTAAGAGAAGAATGAAATCTCTGTTCTCACTCAGCTACATTACATATGGGCTCCTCAATTTTAAATATTATTCCCAGGAAACTCAAGTGCAATCACAAGGCAAACGACAAACTCATTCTAAATCACCTCTCATTAAAACCTCCAGAAAAAAAAAGAAGAACCAAACATGAAAACAGACACACAGTGTAAGACTTCTTCAAATTAAGTCTTTTTCTACTTACAACACTGGACTAGCTAAAACTCTTAAGAGCACTCCTACTGTTCTCCTTATCTAGCAATAATATCAAAAGCAACAGTAATTGCAACTCTGCATTACCACAATCACTTTCCTGGCAAGGAGCTTAAGAACAGCTGTCTAACAATTAGTGGGATAGCTCCAGACTCACTTACTTATCTCACACATCTAACATTCAGATGACAGTCGTAAGAGAACAATCTATTTTGTTCAAGCAAATATAAGGCTTTCTGTGAGATTTCAGTGGAATAGGGAGATACATTCCAGATAAAGCTAAGAAATATAGGTAAACATATTTAATTGAAAATTTTCTCTCATGAAATAGTGCAAATCGGTATCGTATTGAACTGTTCTTCCAGCACTAAATGCTTCCTAGAGTTTAACAGTTACCATGACATTTATTTTCTATCACAGCAGAAGACTGAACTCCTCTTATTGCCTTTCAATGCCTGAGAGCCAAGTAATACACACATAGATATATGGGAATAGGTGTAGATATAAATATATATACACCATTTCCAATACATGAGGCTGAGACTACAGTCCCTGACAAATAATTTGTATGTTTCCAAGATACAGGTCTGCAGGCAAATACCTCAGCCAAATCAAAGGACTGACAGCAATGTAGTCTATCATGGCACACTGAAATAAAGATAAGCCACAAACAAGACCTTCTTGCAAACTGGACTATATTATGAATCTGTATTTCCCTACCACAGGTTAAATTCACATCACAAAACCCAAGCCTCACCATGCTTATTATCAAATCTAAATACCTGGAATTTTCATTTTACACTTGCATTAGCCTCCCTCAGTGGATGCCCCAGGATTGCACTCTGCTCAAATCTAGGTTTCACAAATGATTGAGTTGTGGTTGGATGAAATTAGGCATCATTGCCCACAGGCAAGAGTCTGCTGTTCCTCACTACTCTAGAGACATGAGTATACCTTGTGTACTTTCCAGGCAAAGAGGAATTGCACATTATAGAGACGGGCTTCTACTGAAGCTTAAAGCATTAGTCTCAGTAAGAGAACAAAAAGTGCTAAATTGAACAGGAAGATGTTGAAAGTAACTGGGGAGGCTTTGATTACAAGTACAGATTGACAATGAGCAGGTGACAAGAAGCTTTAAAGGCCTGGAGTCAAAGTTTGAAGTGAAACACCACCAGATGATACAGTCGAAAGACATAGACAACCTTTAAGATACCTGAGGAGAAAATGTGTGCCTGACACCTTGTTTGTTTTTAATAGTTGTATGAGTTAGTCTCATGAAAGATATTATGTCTCCATAAACTTTGCCTCACCATTACAGCTGCAACAGAAAAATCCTTCACCCACCTCCCCAGAAAAATGAAATTCTGAGTGCATGGATGTTTGAATGAAATGTAGGTGTCCTGGTTTGAGCCAGGATGAAGCCAATTTTCCTTTTACTGACTTTTTTCCTTCAGTGAGCTCTCTTCTAAGTAGCAGCAAGTTTTCCAGATAGCAGACTGATAATGCTGGAATGCTGAGATATCAAGGGCACTTTCCTCTGTGGCCTCAGATGCTAGAAAGAGCAGCCCCGCAACATTGATCCCTAAACTCATGCATTCCTGACCCTCATAACTCTCCCCTCAGCTCCAATCTGCTCTGTCACTCTCTCCAGTGTGCTCTGGGACATTTCAGAAATGCTGAGAGCTCAGGAGATGCAGTAGGAGTTGCTGAGGGTAAGGGGATGCAATAGGGTTTTGCACATTTCTGAATAATCTTGTGTATATAATTGTACATATTTTCTCATTAGTATTATTTAATTAAAGCTGTCTAGTTTAGTTTTCAATCCAGAAAGTCTCTCTATTCTCTCTCTGCTTTCC